AATCCCAACAGATAAAGCTTATATACATTTTCAAAATACTTTCCCATAAGGTACCCCCATAGAAGATTGTCAGACAAAATAATAGCAGACAGCAGAGAATACAAACATTATTATTAGATAAATGAATGACCCACAAAAGTCTACAGAGTGATATTCTGGCTAGTGATGTTCTGAGTGAATAGTCGTAAAAAAACGTAGAGTTGTTTAGGGATCGGCTTCTGGTCTAGTCGTTTAAGAAATGCATGAGAAGCAAAAATTTGCTGATAATGCAAAATTAGAAAGAAATAAAAACATCCGAAGGAGACTGAGGATTCTGCGTGATGTGAAAGGGTTAGTGTCGTGATCAGAGACGTGGAAGATGACTTTCAAAGTTGACAAGTGGAAAGGAATGGAATGAATTTTATATACAATAATCTCAAACATGATTATAACATGTTTGCAAACAAACAGAAACAAAATAAGAGAAGGCCTTAAAATAATTATATGCAATGACATCAAAAGTACTAAACAATTCTTACCTGTGAGCAGCAAAACAATCAGAAAGATAAAAATTTCATTGTGAGAAAGCTTTAACACGAAGCTAAATACCATACTGACTCTATAATGTGCTTGTTAGGACCCCATCCTGAATATGCCGTCTAGTTTTGATCTACAGGTTATGTAAACGACAAAGATACACTGGAGGGGCAAAAGGAACTACAATCAAACTCAGACCATCACCAAGAAACAAACCATGTGAAGAAGATGTGAAGGTAGGAAATCGATTCTCTGTTCTCCAAGACGAGTGTACTTCAGTGGTTAGTGAGGTTGAAGGCACCACTGATTCCCTTGCTATTCAAGGTAAGAATATTTTAATAGTAGGAGATTCTCAGGTAAGATATATGGACCGTGCATTTTGTAACAGAGACAGAAAGGTCAGACAGAGAGTGTGTCTTCCTGGCGCTGGTGTTGGTGACATAGTCAGCAGGTTGGATAATATTATGGCAGGTAATGGGAACAAGCCCATTATCTGTCTTAGTGCTGGGGGTAATGACATTGGGAAGGGCAGAAGAGAGGAGCTGCTGCATAAGTACAGGTCAGCCATAGAAATAGTTAGGTCTAAGGGAGGGATCCCAGTCATATGTAGCATAAAAAAACCATACCCCCGGCCGGGATTGAACCCGCGGTCATACAGTCTCAAAACTCCAGCCCGTCGCGTTAGCCACTAGACCAGCTTGCCACAATAAGATTCATCCAACTAGGTATATTTCTACACCATAGAAATATACCTAGTTGGATGAATCTTACTGTGGCTAGCTGGTCTAGTGGCTAACGCGACGGGCAGGAGTTTTGAGACTATGACCGCGGGTTCAATCCCAGCCGGGGGTATGGTATGTTTACAATCGTGTCATTACGATTTCTTGAGTCATATGTAGCATCTTGCCTAGAAAGGGAGTGGGCAATGAATGGATGTCTAGGGCAATTGGTATAAATTGCTGGCTAGACAGGTACTGCAAGGAACTTGCAATCCCATTCATTGATAACTGGGACCTATTCTTTGACAAACGTGATATGTATGCAAGGGATGGGGTTCATCTCTCTGGGGATGGAGTGGTTGCATTAGCCAATTCAATTGAGAGGGTAATTGATGACTTGTCTAGGAATTTAAACTGATAGATTATAGAGGTATGGGTGTTTGTGGGAAACAATCAGGCTGTAGCATTAGGGCTAAAAACAGCAGTTATTACCGCGATACCTCAGGGATATGTTTAAAAGTCAATATTCAAAATAAAGTTGATAGTAATGGCAAATCAAATGATCAACAAATAAAGAAAGACAGTAGAGGGCAACGAGTGACTAGCTCCCTTAAGGTTTACTATACAAATAGTAGGAATCTAAGAAATAAGATATATGAGCTAAGATTACTTGCAAGTGAAGGTAATACATATATTATTTGTACAACAGAGACCTGGTTCAACCTGAAAGATAGAGAAATGCCTTCTGAATGCAACATACAGGGTTATGAACTATTCCACACTGATAGGGTCAACAGGAAGGGTGGTGGAGTAGCGATGTATGCCAGAGAAAATTTAAATTGCTGTCTTAGACATGATATAAGATTAGAAAAATCGAACACCGAATCTGTTTGGCTACAGTTTCTCGAGGGACGTGACAAATTAATTTTGGGTGTGATTTATAGGCCCCCAAACCTAGATAGGGAGTGCAGTAAGCTGTTATGGGACGAAATTCATAAGGCATCTAGATATGAAAATGCTGCGATAATGGGAGATTTTAACTTTAGACAAATTGATTGGAACAATATGACAGGAAATCTTGAGTCTAGTGACTTTCTTGATACGGTTCAGGATTGCGTTTTAGAACAGGTTGTGACAGAGCCAACTAGAGGAAACCATCTGCTTGACTTGGTTCTTGCCAACAAAGATTCACTAATTAATAATCTTGGGGTTAATGATGAGCTTGGGGAAAGTGATCACAAATCACTTAGTTTTAATATATCATGGAATTACCCAGATAACTGCAATCAAATCTCTGTTCCAGATTTTCGCTTGGCCGACTTCATGGGACTGAAAAATTACCTGGGTGGGCTAAATTGGGATGTCCTGACTGTGGGTCAGGTAGGTGATCTTGGTTGCCAATATGACGTTTTTCAGAGCATAGTTCTAGCTGCCCAGACAACTTTTGTTCCGAGTAGGGAAATTAGATCTAACAAAATGATCCCAATGGATGAACAATAGATTAAAACATCTCATTTGGGCAAAAGAGAGGCATATATAGGCATAAACAAAAAAAGGGGATGGGCAGTTAAGAAATCAATATATTCAATTAAAGAGAGAAATAAAGAAAGGAATAAAAAAAGCAAAAAGGGATTATGAGGCTAAGGTCGCAAGGGATTCAAAAAACCCAAAAAATTTTGCTGAGACATAAAAATGGGCCGTCCAATTCATTTTTGATGAGACACTAGAGCACTCCAGGATGATTTGAATAGACTGATGCAATGGTCGGAGAAGTGGCAGATACAGTTTAATATTGACAAATGCAAAGTTCTAAATATTGGACAGGTAAATAACCATGCCACATATAAACTAAATAATGTAGATCTTAATACTACTGACTGCGAAAAGGATTTAGGAGTTCTGGTTAGCAGTAATCTAAAACCAAGACAACAGTGCATTAGTGTTTGCAATAAAGCTAACAGAATTCTTGGCTTCATGTCTAGAAGTATAAATAATAGAAGTCCTCAGGTTGTTCTTCAACTCTATATATCCTTGGCTAGGCCTCATTTAGACTATGCTGCTCAGTGCTGGTCACCGTATTACAGAATGGATATAAATGCTCTGGAAAACGTACAGAGGAGGATGACAAAGATGATCCCATGTATCAGAAATCTTCCATATGAGGACAGACTGAGGGCCCCTGAGGGCCTCTCTTGAAAGACGTAGAATTAGGGGGGATATGATCGAGGTGTATAAATGGAAAACAGGAATAAATAAAGGGGATGTAAATAGCGTGCTGAAAATTTCCAGCCAAGACAGGACTCGCAGCAATGGTTTCAAGTTGGAAAAATTCAGATTCAGGAAGGATATAGGAAAGCACTGGTTTGGTAATAGAGTTGTGGATGAGTGGAACAAACTCACGAGTACAGTTATTCAGGCTAAAACATGTGATGTAGTTCAGCTGGGCTTGTGAGGTCTCTAGGGAGACCTAAGTATATGGTCACCTTGCCTTGGCAAGTGGCTAAGCAGCCACGCCTTTTCGGCTTAAGTATCAGCTTCTTTGTTCGTCACTGGCGTCAGATCTCGGCGTCAGGTCGTACACGTGGTGCACACCTCATTGTGGAGGGGCTTGGACCACCATATAAGCCCAATCAAGAGTCTGAGCAGAGAGACTTTGAGCGGAGCTGCTGCTGGGGTGCAGGGCTCGGGAGAAGGCTGCTGAAGTCTCTGGAGAAGACTGTTGGAGACATTGGGCAGAGTACTCACTTGGAGCAGCACTCGTGCTGTGTAGGTCTTGGGACCTGTGGCTTAGTTCCTGTGGTGAACTGTCCTCTGAACTATATTGTAAGTTATATTCATTTTCGCCAAGTTGATTGTATTCCCTGTCTCACTGCTTATACATACCACCCCACTTATCTAAATACAATAATGTACTCCTGTTCCCAAATATATTATTGTACAAAGACTTAATAATAAACTGTGTTTGAGTAGAATAGTAATATTCCCTGTCCCGGTTATTTACTCATTTATTCATTTATCTTTATTTCAAGTAGTGAGAGGGTGAGTAGTGTGGTGAGTAGAGTAATGAGAGGTGAAGGTGTAGTCACCAGTGACCTCACATTACCTACCAACCTCCGCACTCATCTTTCCTGCCACCTCGCCTGCCTGTCCCCTGTCTACATAACCCCTTATTCCCACTGTCCCCGATTATTTTATGCTTTACGTTCCACTACCCACCTTACATGACAAACGTTGTGTAGTTTTAAAAATAGGTTAGATAAATACATGAGTGGGTGTGGGTGGGTGTGAGTTGAACCTGACTAGCTTGTGTGACGAATGGTTTGAAAAACCGACAAGTTGAAGATTGAGACACTTATGCAGCATATGGGAATCTTTATTCAGGAAACGTTTCGCCATACAGTGGCTTCATCAGTCCAATACAAAGAGGAAGGCGTAAGGAGAGGAGGAGAATGAGGTAATCAGTCCCTCAACCTGGAGTCGATGTGTTCAGTCCATCAAGCTTGTGCTGCTGGGTCTGGTGCCGTGCTCCTTCCTTGAGCGGAGGTGACCAGACTGGGTGGGTTATTGGGCTAATCCAGGGAGGGGGGGGACATGGACCTGCTCCGCATGGGTCAGTAGGCCTGTTGCAGTGTTTCTTCATGTTCTTATGTTCTTATAGTCTTTAATCTAGCTAGAAGTAAATAATTCTGCTTCAGAGTGAACTTCCAAGTCCTGTGCTGTCTGTCTTTCCCATGTACTCTCTCTCTCTCTCTCTCTCTCACTCACCTGTTGAAGAATAAGACGATGGCGAACATCCAGACAGCTAGCACCAGCACCACGATGCCCACTTCTTCAGCCCGTACCCGCACCAGACCCACCTTGTGGTCAGCTCCGCTCATTGTGGTGCCCACGCTGACGCCCACACTGTCCAGCACTGTGGGCGTACTAAACAGGCGTCCACTAGCGTTACCTGCAACAACACCACCACCAAATTTCATTACTGAACGTTACTCTGGTTGTCTCTGTAATTGTATAGTCTCTCTCTCTCTCTCTAAATTATATTATATATATATATATATATATATATATATATATATATATATATATATTATATATATATATATATATATATATTATATATATATATATATATATATATATTCACATACGAGTGGTATTGATCAATAGCAACACTGCGATTAGCCAAGCACTCGAACCCATGATGCTTTGGCCCGCCTCATGGTGAGCGAAAATCACATGACGCTCTAACCCACAGGACCACCAATTCCTACAAGAACCAAGCACCCAGCCAAGCTAGGTGTGTTACCCTTGGTCCGAGGACATACGGTGGTGTAGGTGCCTCTGAGCTAATTTCATTCTACTCCCTGTTTGGTGTACTAGCCCAACACGCACTATTTTATATTGTAACCACGAACGAGCGGTATTGATCAATAACAACACTGCGTCTAGCCAAGGACTCGAACCCATGATGTTTTGGCCCGCCTCACTGTGAGCAAAAATCACATGACGCTCTAACCCACAGGACCACCAAATCATATAATACCACTACCCAAAGTGATGGTACAAGTTACACCCCCCACAGGGAGGAGGGAGAGATACCTACACAGTAAAGGGTGGGATTATCAGGTAACCACCTACCATAAGGGCTTGAGTGTTACCATCTATACTTAGGAGGCCAGGTCACAACAGTGACGGTGGGAGGGTCAGGTCACAACAGTGACGGTGGGAGAGGTCGGGTCACCACAATGAAGGTGAGAGAGTCAGGTCACCACAGTAAGAGTGGGAGGGTCAGGCCACAACAGTGACTGAGAGAGGTTAGGTCACTACAGTGTTGGTGGGAGAGGTCAGGTCACCGCAATGAGGGTGGGAGGGTCAGGTCACCACAGTGAGGGTGGGAGGGTCAGGTCACCACAGTGAGGGTGGGAGGGTCAGGTCACCACAGTGAGGGTGGGAGGGTCAGGTCACCACAGTGATGGTGGGAGGGTTAGGTCACCACAATGAGGGTGGGCGGGTCAGGTCGCAAGTGAGGATGGGAGAGGTCAGATCACTACAGTGATGGTGGGAGAGGTCAAGTCACTACAGTATCGGTGGGAGAAATCAGGTCACCACAGTTAGGGTGGGAGGTTCAGGTCACCACAGTGAAGGTGGGAGGATCAGGTCACCACAATGAGAGTGGGAAGGTCAGGTCACCACAGTGAGGGTGGGAGGGTCAGGTCACAACATTGAGGGTGGGAGGGTCAGGTCACTACAGTGTGGGTGGAAGAGGCAATAACTGCTATAAATTACCACCAAACAGTTACAAAAAAAAAAAAATATTCCTGATTTACAAACACATTTCTAATGCCTTAAATTCAGGGCTCATGAATGCTGTCTCTAAAGCAATGACCAGTAATAAATATTTGGGTAATAATGACTGCAATAAATATCTACCACGAGGGAATATATCAGCCAAAATAAATATTATTTCCACTATATACGATAATGAATATTATACCCGCACTGGAGTGAGAAACAAACGCTCATTTATACTCG